CTCTAGAAGACAAAACACCACCACCAACAAAACAAAACAAAACCTAACTAAATATGTCTTTATTTCAGAGGAATTTATAGGGAAAAGTTATCGGCTATTAACAATTAATTACAGAACTTATTAAACATCTGCAAAGCAGGAAAAAAAACAAAGACTGGACACCAATGAGGTTGGAATTCATATGCATTTGTAGACAGCCATCAGCAGCTTTCAGATCACAGCTTTTTTACCCTATAGCCATAGCAGACATCAGTAATTGATAACTGCCCTCTACCCACTTGGTCCCAGACTGTATACCCTTCTCACATCAACACTCTAGGTCATTGGTTTCTGTCTCCTCAAAGACAGTAAGTTTGGTGTAAGTTTGCAAGCCTTCTGGGCATCCCAGGATTGAATCTCTATCATTACAATGGCTCTTTGTGTTCCTCTAGGAGCTCTAGCCACTTTCTGCTAGCAAATGGGAGCTGAGACTTTCTACAGGGAATGAGAGAGGGAAATACAGCTGTAATTGCTATAATGTCATGCCTTGTGAGTCATTTGTCACAGGAATGAGCACTGAGAAGATTGGAGTCACACACTCCAAATGATAAGAACAGTATTGTAACCAGATCTACCTAACTCTAAAACCCTAAAACAGGATAATGCTACCCCATATAGGTTGAGACAGCTGCATATTTAGACATGGCATGTTGATGATCAAAAAGTCTCTGCACACCTTGCATTTTTTTTTTTTTACTGTTTTTACTGGAACCTTCACTGAGCATATTGAAATGTGGCCTCCTCTACTCATGAAAGACGGCAAGTAGCTTCTAGTTTGATCTACTGAGTAAAAATATTCTGGGTACCAGAACTTGTTGATTAATACACACAGCAGGTAGTATTCAGATAATGATTTTTCTCTCTCTGTTTGTGTGGTTCAATAAAACTCAACTGCTTCATAAAATCCACAGGAAAGAAGAGCCTTGGATGAGATTTCAGATGAGTGTGGTGCACTAGGCTCTCTGAGCAAATTTCTGGGGCAACATTTCCTATCTACCTATATCTGTGTACATCCATGTGTGAGCTGGTGTTGGCCAGAAGAGTGTACATGCATATCCTCTGTAACTCTTCACCTTCATCTTTTAGAACATAATTTCTCACTAGACCCAGAGTTTCAGGGATCCACCAGTCTCTTCCACCAGCACTGGGATCACAGATGGGTACCACCATTCCTGGATTTTACATAGTTTAGTGTGTGTGTTTGTGTGTGTGTGTGTGTGTGTGTGTGTGTGTGTGTGTTTGTGTGTTACATACAAAACCTGAGTCTACATTTATTTTAATGTTACTCATATGTATGTGTATTTAGAGATGAGCACATGGATTAGGTATGTTCTCATTCTATAGGTATTGTCTACTCACCATATTGTTGAGATTTCATGAGTGCATTCTTGCTGCAATATAAACACCAGAACAATTCTCTTCCTTTGTATATGTTGATGCATAGAGTTAAAAAGTAAAGCTATTATCTGAAGGCACCAAATAGTCTCATTGTGAGTTTAAGGAAAGTATCTTTAGCAGTTAACATCTTAACCATTTATTAGGACTTTAAATTTTTCCTTTGAGACCCTGTCTTGTTATGTAGCACAGGCTGGCCTCAAACTTGAGTTCCTCTCCTTACTCAGTGTACCATCAAGCCCAGTCCTTGGTGTGGCCATTCCCTAGGATTGAGAATACCTGGAAGAAGAAGCAAAAGTAACTCTGCCAAGAACAACTACCAGAGCAATGTCACTGTCCTCTAGTCTCAAAACCATTGAGCTGGATGATTAAAACTAGAAAATACCTCAGAGAGCATTTGACATGATAGTGGCATGGTGACTACACAAACTCAGAGGAGATGTCCCTAGTTTCAGTTCTAGCTCCTGTGTTCACTGATTATGTAACCTTCAACACATGACTGAACCTTTCAGATGATAAAGCCTTCATCAAAAAGACAGGACTGAGAAGCATCCTAACATGTGGGGCTAGTATGAGGAGTAAATGGAAGCACTTGCTAGACCAGCTACAAGTAACCTGCTGATTTACCAAACATGCTTTGTGAAGTCAAAACCCTTTGCTTCACTATTTATACAGAACTTGTTCATTGTCACACATCAAATAAGGGTCAAAGTCATCAAGTCCTGGTTTCCAGTTTCTCCACAATCTCACTGTTTCTTCTCCTAGCTATAAACAGAAATCCCTGGGCCAGAGCTAGGAAACCCACTTCCACTGAACACTAAGGCATGTCCAACCATCATTTCAGGTAGCTTAAAGGCCAGTCTAGACCATTGTCCTTAGGTATGGGAAGACAGAAGAGAAGTACAGACAGCTTAAAGGGCCGTTTTCCCTTGAGTCAAATTCTGCCTATGCCTCTGTGGTTGCTTAAAGAAGCAATTTCACAAATGTGTTTTATCTCAGGAGAAATTCATCTTTAGTTTCTGTAAGTCAGTTGTTGGGTAGTCCTGTTTTCTCCTTTGAGAACAGGGTGCAGTACTTTTCAGACCTGTTAATGAAAACACTCCATCCAGCCCAGTGTCTCCCTAAGGACATTGTTCAGTCTCTGGGTGAAGAGGACACTGTATCTATGCTGCTGGTGTCTTCCTCGTGAGACATACCAGCCACACAGTCATCAATAAGGCAGCCAACACTAGAATTTGAAAAAGTAAGTAATCCAATCATCATAAAAGCATTGCTTAAGTCTGTGGAACACTTTACACTTTGCAGAGCACCCTTACATACATTAGCTCATTTGGGGAAAATGCAGAGTTTGCTAACTACAGGAAGGTATACAGAAGCAATAAAATTTATCTATGAATCCACCACTCACAGCAAAACCTTTGTTAACCTTGTAACGTTTCCCTCAACTGATTTCCTGGTGGATTTCAGTTGTTTGTTTTTGCTGTATTGGGATCTTTTTATATGTACCTTTTTGAAAATGGCCTTCTTTATTTAAGGCACATTATGTTGTCTGCCATTTCTTTTAAAGCTCACATCCATTCTGGGGAAGAAGTAATTATATGGTGTGAAATGTTCCCAGGGCTGGAGGTCTGAAGGAGGAGCCATGATTTTTCTTCTTTGAATAAGAGATGTGCACTGAGGGATTTCAAAAAGTGAGGCAGTGCATCTGGAAACATTAGTTTGGTACTCAAAAAACAGCACTGAGCAGGCGCTCTACAATATCAGTGTTTGTGCATCCCATGGCAAGGTAAAGGTAATTTAATACTAACACTCACTTGGTATCTAGGTAAGTTGGAGTCTCACAGGCAAATGTGTTTTAGTTTACATATGTGGGATTCAGATGAGGCATATACCACTGATACCATCAAGTTCATAAAAGAGGGCATGCACACTCCAAAACTAAAACTCAATCCTCCCTACTAGGAAAGCCACACCTTGCTAGTTGTATGGCCAGTCCTTGATGGGCACTCCCTTTCTTATCATGGTCATTCACACTGACTTTTATACCTTTCACAGTGCTCTGAGTGTCCAAAGTTTGGGGGTTCTTTCTATGATTGACTAAATTGTAGAGCCATTAACTTGATAATTCTTTTCCCCAACACATGTAAAATGAATCCCCTATACATACTTCTATTTGGTCACTGATATCTTGCCATATAAGAGTAAGATACACCAGAAGAGGACATCAGATCCCATTAGTGATGGTTGTAAGCCACCATATGGTTGCTGCAAATCAAACTCAGGACCTCTGGAAGAGCAGTCAATGCTCTTAACCTCTGAGCCATATCTCTAGCCCAAACATGCAGTTTTTGAAATCCTGATTATTAATTTCAGACAGGTTAATGAGTCCAGAAACCTATTATATATATATATATATAATTTTATATATATAGATAAAAGATATAGAGATAGATAGATAGATAGATAGATAGATAGATAGATAGATAGATGGATGAGATTGATATGACAGGACAAAAATCACAGCCAGTTTAATGACCCTTGGGGAATTTTATTTTTAATTTAATTTTATTGAAATATCAACTCCACGTACTAACTCTTCTCTGTCCATAGCTGTAGCTTGCAGAGCAGTCACAAATGCTTGCACTCAGGTAAAAATCACATGCCACAATGATGATGTGGGTCATTCCCATTACCCAGAAGCTCGTGGGTCTTTTTCCAAGACACTTACCCCACCCCCACTCATATTTACCAAGCCCTTTCCATCACTATAGCTAATGTTTTTCCAGGTTATAGATACTCTTTTTCTAAGTCCCTTGAGATTTCAACTGTTCATCTGTTAAGTAGACAGCATCATTTGCATGTTAGTGGCACTTTGGAGTTTACCCCAAGGTAAACTACAAGGTAGTTTACAAGGTAGCTACAAGGTTGGGAACTTGTAGCTATGCAAAGTTTTAGCTACTTGTTAGAAGCTTTTCATTGGTCAGTAGGAAAGGGAAGTAGAACTAAAGATGCTTTTTTATTAATGAGGACACACTTTCAGAGAGTTAAAAAAGGTAAGAGAGAAGTTGTCCTGGCTAAATTTAGGCTAAAAAAAAAAAAAGGAAAAAATTTTGTGTTAATAAATATATTTACTTGGTTCTTCTTTCTTAAACCTGACCCAAAGGTTGAAGTGTGTAGTTCCAGCAAGGGAAAACCATCAGATCACTCAGAAGCCCTTCCCTTTTGAGATTTCTTCATCTACAAGTATCTTCCTTGTGTTAATTAACACCAAGCCATTTGACTGTTTTACCCAGGAAAACACTGTATTTTGTTTGTAAGGATTTGCATGGCCCTGCATTGTCAGCTAGCATTACTTGTGTGTCTCTTGGCCACAAGAAGACTCATCTCTCATATGTGAAAAACTGAAGCCTTTGTGATCACCTCTTGAAGTTAGAGTAAATTGCGAGGAAACAAAATGGTAGTCTTTTCTGTTGAACCACCAGCACGGGAAAGAGACTATAGCAGGCAGGCTTCTGAGCCCTTTGGTGCCTTGCTTCCTATCCCCAAGCCTTTTTCTTCCTTTGCAGCTTCAGAAGCAGCTGTCTGAGCTGGATGAGGATGACTTGTGTTATGAGTTCCGGCGAGAGCGCTTCACTGTCCACAGAACCCACCTGTACTTCCTGCACTACGAGTTCGAGCCTTCTGCTGACAATACAGACGTTACCCTTGTTGCTCAGCTCTCCATGGACAGGTACAGCCTATGACCTTACCCACCACATGGTCTTCATAATTGATGCTCTTTACCCCATGGAACAACCGAGGATGAGAGATGGTCTCCTAGGCTTAGAATATTCAAGTGCACTTGAGGTTGATCTTAGTCCCATCCCCAGTGCTGCACAGCAGAGGTATCCTCTTTTAGTTGCTGGTGTTGCTTGAGGATTGGCTCATTAGGAGTAAAATCCTACAGAAGAGGCTGCACACTGGAGCCTTAGTGGCTGTCTTAGTTACTATTCTATTGCTGTGAATAGATACTATAATCAAAGCAACTCTTTAGAAAGAAAGCATTTAAGTGGAGGCTTGCTTACAATTTCAGAGGATTAACTCCATGATCATCTTGGTAGGAAGCATGGTGACAGGAGTGTATGCATAAGACAGAGCTTACATCTTGATCTGCAGGCAGGAAGGTAGAATGAGAGAGGTACTGGGCTAGGTATGGGCTTTTGAAACCTCAACTCCCCACTCCCACCCTACCTCCTTACAACACAATTCCTTCAAAAAGGCCACACCTACTCTAACAAGGCCACATCTCCTTGTTTAAATCATTTTCAAACAGTTCCACTGTCTGATGTCTAAGCACTCAAATATATGACCTTATAGGTGTTGCCATTCTTATCAAACCACCGCAGTGGCCATAGTAAAATAACCATTTTTTCTCCTCATATGTGTTCTTTTGTAACAGTCTTTCATGGATGTTTCCCAGTGGCACTGCTATTAGGGTAGCCTTTTCTTAATTACTGTCTGGTAGGCTGGCTCTCAATATGACAAGAGACAAATTGAGTCACAGTGGGGAGCTTTTGAAATAAATTCATACCCAGGTTCCATAGCAAACTATCCAAGACAGAATCTTTGCCTAGACATTGTTTTAAGCTTGCAGTATGTAACCCAGGATCGGGAATGTAGACATACACAGACAACTTAATAAAATTATAACTACAGCAAAGGGCTTTGAAGGTACTGGGATAGATAATACCAATCAAGTCTGGGATCTTGTATAGATAATGTCATTGTAGGAAGTCTTTCTGAGAAGGGAACATTATCTGTAGAGACCTAGAAGGAAAGGAAGAAAACTAGTTTCTAAGATTTTTCCAGACAGATGAACTAGTGAGTCCAAAGGGCCCATGGTGGGAGGCATGATTTGTATTTTATCGAACCTGACTTGAGTAAATTATATGTAGCCACAGTATTTGTTGAGTGAAGTTCCCACAGAGGCCAGGAGAGGACATTGGATCTTCTGGAGCTGAATTAAGGATAATTATGAGCTGCCTGATATGGGCACTAGGAACCATACTCAGGTCCTTGCAAGCATAGTACATATTCTTAATTGCTGAGCCATCCATCTCTCTATCTCTTATTTCTAATTTTGCAAGCCTCAGTGGCTATAGAAGGTGAATGGATTTGAATCTCCAAGGTCACTGTCCCAGAGATAAGCAGCTTTCCTCTACCTAATCATGTTACATTGCTGACTCTCATACTGACTGAGCAGCTTCCTTTTTTAGTTACACAAGCCCCCACACTGGGTGCCTTTACACAGTGAGTGTCCTGGGCCATGCTGTTTCATTTCAATAGGCCATTATATTGATTGTCTATTGAGCTACCTGACATTCCTCTCTGTGCTATGAATGAAGATGCCTTGGGATTGCTCTAAGAGTGGAATGAATCTGTGTACAAAGGGCAGTAGTAGGAGTGCAATCAGTGTTCCATAAAGACCACTGTTATTAGTCATGGGTGGATGAAGAATGTGCAAAACTTGAAGGAGCAAGACCCCAGACATAAACTCACAGAGTACTATCCAAGGAAGCCAAGAATGAGTGGGAATTTGCATGCCATGGCTGTCTGGGAATGACCCTTATTGAGTGTAACTAGTGGACGTGGGTGCCTTTCTTAAAAATAAGATTGAGAGAAACCTTGAGGAATACACTCAAATTTACCTCTGACACACACACACACACACACACACACACACACACACACACACACTACTAGTATTGTTATGCACGAGATGTGACCCTTGGAGGCAGACTCTTATCAGTGGCTCTGACTTTCTTTAGTTTGACTTTTTTAGACAAGTAATCTTGCCCCACTAAGTCCCAGTTTCCATATCTGTTACCTGGGAATAATAAATATAATTACCCCTGAGGTTAAAATAATCATGAGAGTACACAGGCCCAGTACTTTGTACTGATGTCCATACAAAATCTCATGAACTAGTACCAACATGAGTGACCAGAATTCTAATATGTATGCTATGTTGTGTAGAAGGCACTAGGCCTAAGGACAAAGAACTTAACCTCAAATCTTGTCTGCTCCTTTCTCCAACTAATGAGTTTGGCATTTCATTCAGTATCTTATATTTCTGTTTTCTCCTATTAAATGACGTTAAAATAATGGTTAGAGTTAAATGAGAGAACCTGCGGAAGCCCTTGTGACATATTTGCCATCCAGAAACCATTGGCTAGATCTGAATACCCTGCTTTAAAATTATGGCTTTGTGTTTGTTTTTCTGCTGCTGTGATAAAACATACTGATCAAAAGCAATTTAGGGAGGGCTAGATTTATTTTGCTTTGTTTCCAGGTCACAGCTCATCATTGAGGAAAGTTGGGAGAATTTAAAAGCAGAAACCAAGGATGAATACTGCATTTTCCTCACTGTCTTACTGACATACTCACACTCAGCTTTAATATATAGCCCAGGAACTCCTGTCTAGGGAGAGTGCCACCCACAGTCCGCTGGGCCATCTCATATCAATCACTAGCAAAGTAGAATATCTCAGAGAAATGACCATATACCTATCTGATCTAGGCAATTCCTCAATTTAGAATCCCTCAAGTGACTCTCCATTGTGTCAGATTAACAGGTGAAGCTAACTAGGACAGGATGGTAGGCATTTAGAGACAATAATGAGAGAAAAGCAAAACCTGTACTAGGCCCAGCTGTACCACTGCCTAGATATGTGAATTTGAGTCAAGTACTTGGCTCTTTTCAGCCTCACTGTGTGAAATAGTGATGATACTGGCAAGTCAGCTTCATTGATTATTGTTTGGCTCTTATACCAAAAGAGGATGTAAAGTGCTTGAAAACATAGTGGTATAAGCAAATATTAGTTACCCTTTCCTGAGTGTGTTCACACCCATACTGCCTAGGATTTACAAACTGATAGCAGGAGAATGTGTTGGGTTTACAGTGCAGATTCATGTTTTTGTACACACCTGTTACCAACAATAATATTGGCCAAATGAAGCTCTTACATCTACCACCAACAGGAGTGTCACATTGGCCTGGTCCAGGCAGCTCCTTGCCTCACAGCCCTTATAAAAAGCTCCAGCCCCACTTGCATTAGCCACAGAGCCATTCTCTTCAAATTGCACACATCCCAAGCTTAGGATATACAGGATAACCTCTAATTCATGGTGACAAGTACTACTCCCCAGACAACACCCCACAGTGTGTGGCAAATGGACAGTGCTACCAGACAGAAAAACTGGTAAGGTTGAAACAGGTTCAAAACCCTGGTTAATCTCATAATTGAGAAAGATAGAAGTGGAACTAGCTTCCAACAAGTCTCTACTCGTCCTGGAAGATGTGACCACATCACCCCACTAGGAGGACCTTGACATACAGTCACATAGGGACAATACCTGAAGTTCTTTTCCATGCAAATAAAACAACCCTAACGTCTCATACTGAGCCAATGGTAAGCACCTACCCCTGTATCCCACTCTAACCCCCACCCAAAAAATATGTTTATAAGGTCCCCATCTACAAGGAATAAAGTGTACAAGTTATTTCACCAAGATTCGAGAGTGCCTGTCTTATTGAACTGTAACACTCTAGGAAAGATTTTTCTCTCATGAAGTATTTATCACTGGAATTGGTCTTCACCTAGCAGGCTGGGCTGTTGCTTACAGCCACATCTTGCCTCTGTGTCTCTGCTACTGATTCCTTCAGTGCAGGGGCTGTGATGGTAGCAGAAGAGATCTGGTGGCCTGCCCTACCCTAGCTTCTCCTCAGAGAGCTGTAACACTTTGGCAGTTCCAGCCAGGCCAGAGCCCAACCTGGGCTAGGGATCCTCGGATTGTATTCTGTCTCCCCAGAACAACTCACCTGCTGTGTTCCATCATGCTAGCTGCTAGCAAGGTAGGCACATGGCCTAATCCAACTGAATCCAAAGAACATAAGAAATTGTAAAATTCTATGAGAAAAGCATGTAGCAAGAAGCAATAAAAATTATAATGCAACATTAAAGCCAATGCAGAAATTTCCCCAGCTGTGGGAAAAAACTCGAGCGGGGGCAACCCAGGGCCCTCACTGAAGAGACCCGCAGGGGTGGGGGTGGGGGAGTCCAGGAGGCTCTCCACACTGGCAAGTCCCACATACACAAGAAGGTCTAAGGTCTGGAAGCTTTGGTGGCAGCAGGCCCCAGAAGACACATGGAGTCCGCGGATTTAAGAAGTTTATTGTTCATGGCATTATAGTTGGATCTGGATGTGCCAACCCCCCCAAAAAAAAGCCAGGGGGACCTGGCTTAAAGGAGGTGGGGGGGAGAGGAACTGGGGAGGGGAAATAACTTAATTAGCTACACTCCCCTGCCTTAGGTAACTCATGAATATGGAAATCTCTGTTAGTCACGCCCTCTACCTGGATGGTGACACAAAATCTCTCTGGGATAAGCTACTTTGAGCCAAAAGAGTCTGCAAGGCACAGGTTAATGGAGATGTAAGTCGCATGTGGAAAGAGTCTGGAATCCAGGAGCGTGGGGACATAAGTGCTATCCCTCACAGGCCATGTCCCTGTTGGATCTCCAGCTATCTCAAACCCAGTGCTCTACCAGGGAGACTAAACCATCCCTTTGCAGCCCCACACCCAACCACTTACCTCTACTCCACCATATACATCTAGTTAGGACACAGCATACTGAATGGTGTCTCCTTGGTTGAATTTTAATTTAAGAAATATTTCGGTATGCTTATAAA